CCACGTTAAGTTAGATTGATTACCTTGAATCTTGAATCTTGAATTCAAGAAGTCAAGTCAAGTCGAATGCCTCCTGCCCTCCCTAACCTTATTTATTCACTACTTGTTAAATAATAATAAGCTTACAACCAATTACAACTACTCAGTACACTCTACAACTTAGGTAACTTATCTACCTACCTAGTTAGTCAAACATGATTGATTGATTCCATTATGAATATTTGAATATAATATTCGTACTTGGAATATCATATCTATTCAGGATGAACTCACTGGCACTCACCATTGGAAGGTTGAAGGTTGATATGATATGAGAAAATTGGTCTTGTGAATCGAGTAGATTAGATGTACTCGAGTATGCTGAATGAATATTAAATCACATCACAGTCACTACTTCTTTGTATCAAGTATTATAGCAGTCAATGTAGTCTTAATAAAAGTAGCTAGCTAGCTAATTGCGAACTGTGAACTGTGAACTGCGGATTTTACATCCTTCTTTCCCACCCCCACGAATCATTCTTGACATTTACACTTGTGAATTTCGTATCTGGCGTCCGATTCCGTTTCCATACCAGATTTGTTATACCATGCCAAATTAGTAGCAAATCCACCCCTTCTAGCAAACATATTATCTCGCCCCTCACAATTCCATCACGTTTCTTCTTACACATCATCTCTACCTCTGTCGACATGACTCTTATAGTCATCCTAACAAATCAAGGAGTAAATTCTTAGTCGTCAAAGTAACCATTGAGTACACATCCACCCCAAGGAACCACAAAGTAGTTCCCCACTCGTCAAATGAACCCTTCAAGTCCTGCCGTCCGAATTGAACACAGAGAATCAGTTAGGCATCTGACTCCTACGCACGTCTCTTCTTCGAAGGTCTTCTATGAAAATTATCAGTACATATCTTGCGAAACAAAGCCTGCTCGTGATAGAAGAAAGAACAACTAGGACTCGTGAGTCACGAGAAGGTTTTGGTCCATGTAGAATGATGAGAATAAATGGAAATAATGAAAACAAAACTTACCCTCTGCCCTTCTTAGCAGGCTTAATCTCCTCTTCATCTTCCTCAACCTTAATTTCCTCATCAACAAGTTCATCCCTGGATGTATCGTTATCAGAAACTAAATCTGGGGTATCTGCCTCTGACTCTGCCTCTGCCTCAGCTTCTTCTTCCTTGACTTTCTTCGAATTCTTACGACCTTTCTTTGGGGCTGGAGCTGACTTGGTCAGAATTTCATCTTCGTCGTCTTCTTCTCCCTTGACTTCCTTCTTAATGGCTGATTTCGTAACGCGAGGCTTCTTGGCGGGAGCAGGTTTGACTCTTTCCTCTTCTTCTTCGATCTGTTCTTCATCTTCGTCGTCTTCTGCTTCCTTAACTTCTTTCTTGGTGGTTGATTTCTTGGCACGAGACTTCTTGGCGGGAGCTGGCTTCATTTCTTCCTCATCATCCTCTTCCTTAACCACAGCTTTTCTTCCTCGAGCTTTCTTAGCCGGCATAACTTCCTCCTCCAAATCCTCTTCCTTCTTAACCACAGCTTTTCTTCCTCGAGCTTTCTTAACCGGCATAACTTCCTCGTCCGAATCCTCTTCCTTCTTGACCTTCCCACCTCTCTTCTTCTTCGCCGGATTCTCATCTTCTTCTTCCTCATCGGCATCTTCTTTCTTCACTCTACTTCTCTTCTGTGGTGTATTAGCCTTCTCTGCCTTAATCGCTCCCATTTCCATATCAGCCTTCTGTTTCTCCTCTTCCTTTCGACGAGCGGCCATTTCCTTTGAAAAATGTGCAATATTCTTGTTTAGAGCTTTGACTTTTAAACCGTTGCCTTTCCCATCATCAATCAGTACCTGTTTTTCTCTTTCGGCTTCGTCCCATTTGGCTTGGAGTTCAGTCAGATTACCCATTTCGGCTGATTTCTGATTCTTAATCTTTTTCTTCGATTCAGTGGTGCGAGTTCCTGTTTGGCCAAGGGCGTTCATCTCTGGATCCTGTTTTTTGTCAGTCATTAGTAATCTAGGGTATGGGACAGGAAAGGTAGAAATGAGGATGAGGAAGACAAAGAGGAATGAGAATACATACACCTTTCCAATCTTCCGAATCAATATATCCTTGAGTAACAACTCGTCTAACCTTCTCCTGTAACTCAGGATGATTATCCAGACTACCTTTTCCACCATCATTATATCCATCCATCTTATCCCACAAATAGTCACCACTACCTGGCTTCCTCTCATCTTCAAGATACTTTCTTAAATTTTGAAGTTGTTTTCCAGTGACACAGCCCCTGGTTTTATTAGTAATAATTCATGAATATGGAGTGTGTATAAAAGAAGAAGATAACGATGGAGAAAGAAATATGCATATCCTTGAATCCAAGCAATGATGGGTGAAAAAAGAACATACCAATGTTTCCACTGCCAACTACCATGATCATGAATGTCAACCCAAGTACCCAGTCTCAACTCATCCTTTTGAATCTTGATACCAGCATCTTTACATTCCTTATTGTTACATCCAGCGCGTCCAGTAACTGCGAGTTCTGTATTACAAGTTAGCAATGATATCCATATATCCAGGAGGTCGATATTGATGAGATGCGTCTCGTGCTATCACGTGTAGACAAGAGCTCAAAATGCCGACATAAATCAATGAGAGAAATACATACCAACACGATAGGACATTTTGTTGATATATCAATAAATACTCCTCTTGAAATCCTGTCGTAAGTTTCTGAAGCAGCTTCAGATGAACCAAATCGAAACAGATGTTCTCTTATACTGTTAGAATTCTTTATCCTAAAATATTGAGAAGTTTCGAAAAGAGATTCTAACTCCCATGTAATCACGATAAAGGTTTGAAGAGAAGTTTGATGAAACGCGTTGATTTAAATGGATAAGGGTTTTGTGAAGATGTGAAGAAATGGAGAGGAATTCACAGTTTGAAGAAGCTTGTTGAAGCTTCCAGGATTGAGCTTGAGCTTTGACCATATTTGGGATTATGCTTATGTAATCAATCAGGCAGATGTTCACGCCTTGTGTGCTCTTCATTCTTCAGGCTGTTGATGCAAAATATATAGGGGCTTTAACTGATTAACACCTTATACACACTGTTGTAAGTTGTAAGATAACTTTTACCTCTAGATTTACCAGATTTTTGAGGTAACTCTGATTCCCTCAAGAATTTTAATTTACAACTAAAGATGAATGAAGCATATCATCTGGCCTCATGGGATATCTATTACCTGGGTTTCGAGGTTGATTGTCCTCATGAGTCTGGTCTGACAACTTAAGTCAGTGAGGCTATCAGTGAGGTCTTATACTAACTTATAATATCTCGAGAAACTACATTACACACAAGACAGAAGTCAACAGTCACCAAAAAGGCCTTACAGAACTCCAGCACCTTATATCAAGTGAAGGGGGTGATCGAATTAAGATATTGAGCATCTCGAAACGAAGGTAGGTAGCAATGGTGACAAAAGTACTCCCAGAAAGCACTTCGGTGTGATGGACCGCCTAAAAAGGCGACAACAACCTAGCTTAGAGAAAGATTGCATAAATACTCAGTCCATCTTTATGACTCTAGACTCATAATTTAAGAAAGTTAAAAGTGTGAAGAATCTCCTCTTTATGATTGTGTAAGTTTGATTTAATATGGGCACAAGAACTCATCCGCTTTTTCCAATACATTGAACATATTTAGGCAGTTTGGGAGCAATGAACGGGGGTACCTAGTAGTCTTGAGAGGATTAACATAATATGTCTGTCTCATAAGATTTATTGGGCTTTCTTCTAGGCTTGCTTCTAGGCTCAAGACCCTATAGCAAATATGCAACAAAGGATCTAAGATGGTAGAAATAAGCTAGTGAATATGGGGAAGGTGAATGGGCGAGGCGAGTGGGAGAAGTGAGTGAATGAGACCCCTTTTATAATAGCTCTAAACTTTGCAATACCATTTTTGTAGAGAAACTTAAGATCATGGAACACCTGGCGATAAAATTGTCAAATGTCTCAAATATCATAATGCTATATCGTGCTATAACAGGCGGTAGAAGATCGCTGGGTCATGAGATTTATTGTACAAAGATTGAGCCTACCAACGAACGAAGAGGTTACATAGGAGTGACACGTTCAAATCCTAATGCTCATGAAACGTACTCGAGTAGTTATGATCAGTATATACCTTGACTTTCCGACTAGCAAAGGTAAACGAATCCCCTGCCAAAGACATTCTCGTTTCATAACGGAGACAATTCGAAATAAACCATCAATTCTCATACATGTAATCCTTTCACCAATGCTCATCGCCCATCCTATAGCCTACTGGAGTCGTACTCCTATACAACAAGTCGTAATCGGCAATCCCAAATTTAACAAAGAAAGGGATCAATATCCTGCCTAAGCAAAAGTTGTCATTGCAGTTGTCTGATTTCATCTTATACTCACTTCTATTGCGGCATCCATTACCCGTTGTGGAAATGAAGAGGGTTCCATATTTCAAACAGTCCCCATGAGATTGATTCCTCGTGTGAATTTAAGCTAATTTTGTCAGAATATATACTGTTCTCTCGTTAGTAAGAACATTGATGGGTTGATAAGTTGTCAATGCAATGGTACCTGAAGATGATGAGCGGCGCTTCGGTCAACAACGAGAACTGTTGACATTGACAATCAACGAGAAGATCCGAAAACATCGGGTTATTGACAGCAATATACTGGTGGATATTTGATGTATCAAGTTGAGGCCACACATGCTTGTTGGAGCTTTCGTAGTCTAAATTTGTTGTTGATGATTCGAGACGTCGATGTGATTACTCCTGAAACCGAGCTTCCACACTTCATTATATCGTCCTCTATCAACTCCTCAGTGATATTAAATAGACAAATGGATATAAGGGCTCTAGATAATTCCACTTGAATGGTTACTTCTCCGAAATGCTGAACTTTCATTTATAGTTGTCTACAATTTTCATACCCATCCAATACATATGTATGAGACACCGCGCGCACTACGACTCTGCAGACTTCTCGTCGGAGGAGGAAGAGAGTTTCTCCTCGCGCTCCTCCTGTTGACCTCACTGAAAAATTTAGAGCTGAATTGGAATAAGCTTCGGAATCTAAGCAAAAAAATTGTCTTAATTCGAGGGTTCATTCCAGAGGGTGATCTTTGTTCATTGATCACTTGCCAACATGCCCAAGATTCCAAGTGATTCAGATAATGATGAGTGACTAGAGCAGATTGTGCGCCATCCTCCAATGTTTCCCAACATGTATTATGAGTCTAGATCTCTTCTACAACCTTGTATCCAGCAATACTTATTGCACCAAACTATATACCGCGATAAGTCATTCCTATTGGCTTGATTCCTACAGCATATTCATATACAGGTTACGATTTTGCAAATCTTAAAAGCCATAGTCAATGTGATATTAACAATACAATAGCCCGGACATCCCACTTGAGACTGGGTATGAAAACGGAGGCGAGGACTCAGGTTTGGAGAATGAGAGAATGAGAGAGTTGGCAATGGATCGATACAGATGTCAAAATGAACCAATACAGAAGGTAAACAGAAAGAGAGGGAAGTTTTTCGAGAGATTCTCGAGAGATCTATGAAGATTGGAGAGATGATGATAGAGATCGGTGAAATCTAGCTTCGAACTCTGAACAGAATTCTGGTTTCGAGGATTATGTTGAAGGAAGGGTCTTCTGAGGGAGGTATAAGAGTATTTTGGGGAACTGCATCTGCGTTGAATGGTGCAAGTCTTGGGAGAAAGTAGTTTGATAAGAGTGTCTGATCTTTCGTAGCTGTTTAATCATCGTGGTTGTTGTCATGATGGTCTGAAAATTTGGAAAATGTTGTCGTGTTGGTCACGGTATTGATTTGTCAGCAGCAGCATTTCTGCCAAAGGGGCATGGCTGAGTCAACACATACACCTCCTTCGTTGTCTCTTTGGATTCTGTGAAAGTGCAACACACCACTGATACGACATCAATATGACCTGCTCTTCGGACGGCAATTAATCAAAGACAACTAACGTACCAGCAAAATATCTACCAACTTCATACCCGCTGGAAGATGCAGTCATCAATTTGTTCTAGGACATACACATGGGACCTAGACCCAAACGGAGCTGAAATGCACCACGAAGAACCGACAACAGCATTTATCCACCCATACTTGGCAAGGCACAAAAACCCACGAGAAGCATGGATTAATTGACAAGAACGGCAGGCAACGAGGCTGTACAGTTTGGCCCCCTGCATATTACAATGGGGTGCGGAAGGTCAAGTACCTATATCTCCTCTTCCCTTCTACCTATTTTCCATTTTCTCTTCTCTCTCCCTTTCTTCCTTTCTTCCTTTCTTCACCCTCAAGTTCTCATATTCTCATTTGAGAACTCCCTCCTTCAAATGCCTTTTCCACTTTTCTTAACATTCCGGCAATCGGGCAACAACGACGACCGAATCTCTTTCGGCGCAGGAATCGGGATTCCTAATCTCTCCATCTATTCTCCCGACGGCTCAACCTTCACTCAATGGCTCACACATTGGAGTACTAACGATCGTGGTAACACTATTCGGAAAATAATATGTGTGATTGGTATCTTACTCCACATCCCGCTGAATCTTTACTACATTGGGAGATGGGGAAGTTTATGGATTCTTTGGGGAATAGTGAGCGCGGTGTTTAATTTTGGGTTTGTATGTATTGGGTTTTGGTGGTTAGATATTATGAGGGGGGAGAGATGGGTGTATGGGAGGCGGTACGTAGTTTTATATCTAATTCCAAACTTGTACTCGATTACACTCTTGTTCTGATAAGTGTCTTATAACTAATACTGTAATCCGGCAAACAGAGCAACACGTCGACATTTCGACTGGATCATAGCTTTTCTCCTAATTGTCTATATCTTCTCATTTATCCTGACAACAACAATGGGATTGAGTTCATATGGGGCGATTTATTTCTTCTACTATTGGTGGTCACCGCTTTGGGGGGTAGCTGATGTGCTATGTCCTCTGGCTGGGTGGGTTAGTACGTGGGAGGGGACGGGAGCTGTGAATTTGGCATAAGAATGGATGGGATTAGGAGAGTTGTAACGTGACTTTTGTGAGAGTGGAATGGATCTATCGGATATCTCAACTGAATGAATTGGACCATCAGAACGGGATCGATGAAATCTAGGGCTGAAGTGAGAAATGAAGGTTCAGGATATAAACATTTTTCTAATATCTCGAATGAAGCTTCTATACTTTGTATTTGATAAATTAGTAATATTAAAGCATAAGTGTCCCTTCCCTCTTAGCCATATTCCGTTATTCCTCTAAGTACCGTCTACCGTCTACTCAAGTCTAAAATTAGCAATTCTGAGAACGTTCTTTTCAATATCGATATCGACATCCCCTTTCTTCCTACAGTATCCGCTAAATCGTAGGAATAAAAGCGTGTACCGTATACAGCTACCCCGTTATATATACTCAAGTATAACCTACAATCCAAAGTGCGTTACCCACGAGTATAACCTCCACATCTCAGCATCTCCACACCTCAACGAGACATTTAAACACCTTTAATCTAGGGAATAAAAAGAAAATGAGTTTGAAATTGAGATCCCTAAAGAAAATGTATTTAAATACTCGTACCAATGCCCAGTATACGAGTATACAATAAGAAGATATGATATTAGGCACAAGAGGAATACATCAACTATATATACTATACTATAATACTATACACCTTAAGAACCCACTAGTTCCTATGAGTAGAGCCTTGAGAGATATATAACAGAATAACTCATTTCTACGAATTCTACCTGCATCATCTTTCCAAATACTCGAGTAGAACAATAACTCAAATACATTCTCCTCATTCCATTATTATCCATTTTTTAAATACAATACAAAACAAAACACATCCTTATTCAAAATGTCCATTAACATGATGCGTCATCGCCAACTCATCACCCTCAAACTCTGCACACACAAAACACGTACTCATCTCCGATCTAAACACTTCTTCCCTCTCCCCCAGTATCTCATCCCTTGCATTTTCCCTAGAATATTCCTCAGCTTCGTCCATTTCCCCAATCTCTTCTTTTTCTTTTTCTTTAGCAGAATTCCCTTGCGTCCTCTCTTTTTTGCCCTTGCGATTGCCTTTTACAACGATGTAGTCTTCTAGACTAGCTCCTGTGGTATTGCTTATAGCGGTAGACTCGTCGTATCCGTCGTTTCTGAAGTCTGTGTACCTTCTATCCAGGAACCCACTTCCTCTAGCTCTTCCCATCTCCCCTCCCCTACCCTCACTCCCACCCACTTCCCCATTTTCCCCCAACCCCTGCAACCCCTCCAGCCCCTCCACATCATCCTCCACCTCTCCCTCCTTAACAATCCTCCTCACCCTCCCCACCCTCCCATCCCTCAACCTAACTTTAACCCCCCTCGGATGCTCCCCCCTCCCCAACAAATTCCCCACCCACCCCTGCACCTCCCTCCCACTCCCCTGATCCACCTTCAACACAATCGAAACATGTGTTCCTGGCAACAACTCCGAAAACCTAGGTACCGGAACTGATGCTTGGGAAATATTGACTCCTCGGTTCGGATATCCGCATCCTCTGTCTCTTCTTTGACCCTGACCTCGTTCAAATGTACCGCGAGAGGTGCGCGCTGGCTCCATTTTGAGTTCCTGATATTTTGCTGTGAAGTATGGAGTGGGCTGGGGTGAGAAATATTATGTGGATATGGATGAAAGACTCTCGAGATTATATAGAGTGAACGCAAGTTTTCGGGATATATCAAACAACTCCTCGAAGGTATATCTTTGATAAAGAAAATGCAGGTAGGTTTGTTGATAAATTGTGGTTCTTGGATAAATTCCAACTTTTCCCAGATTGAAAATCCTATCCACGAATCCAATAATATTTTTCTACTTCGCGATGAAAGATTGTAGATATATTTTCTACGATTAATGAGTGATTTTTATTTTTCTCTACAGAAAATGTGTTTTTGTTAGGATGTAGTTTGTGTATCGAGGTTGTATGATGGAGAAGGATGATGACTTATGACATCGGACACACGTGAGTAGATAGTCATGTGACGTTTTGAACAAGTACACTTTCATCCTCTGTCTTAACGAAGGGTCTCGGATTGATTTAGCTGTGGATCTGAGAGGAAACATTATGCACGGGACGAAGATCTAACATCTACTTGCATATGAAAGGTATAATAAGTCAGAATTCCATATCCCCGCATCACGCTCCACCATATCCGCATTTGACATACCAACTACCAGTACTGATGTTGTAGCCACCAAGCCTAAAGCCCCAATGCCCGTTCCCCATTCATCAATAAGCAAACCTCCTTGCACCCTCCCCAACCCCCCTATTCCTCCACCCATAATACGCCCTCAATCCCACACACCCCACCGCCACAAAATACAGCAAACCAGCATTAACCCAATGACCCAACGGAAAACCCTCTTTTGCCTGATCCGCCTTATATATCCAGACACCCGCGATTTGTCCTGGGGCACCTATCGATATATTCAATGCAATTGCAAGTCCAATGCTAGCTGTTGAGAAGATATTTGAAGAGAGGAAGCCGAGGAGAGGAGGAATACAGGAGAAGGCTCCTGAAGCAGCGATGATGAGACAGCCGTAGCGGGAGCTGTATGAGGTGGGGGGAAGGAGGGCAGAGGCTGTGAAGCCAATGGCGCCGATGAGGGCCATGGTTGAGGAGTGGAGGGCGCGACTGAGCTGGGATTAGATGATGTATGGTCAGAGGGAGTTGCATAGGCTTACGCGTTGAAATGGTCGGCGGACCAGGAGACAAGGATTGTTACGACATCTGTGGAAGGGTCAGACGAAGGAAGAAACGATGAGAAAAGCAAACGTACAAGCAACGGCGTATGGTGGAACTGTCATAAGCTGTGCTTCGAGATTTTTGTATCCAAGACCGCCGGTGATACTTGGTGTGAATAATGACAAACTCGAGAACGGTGTTGAGATGCCGAAGTAGATCTTAATGATTTGTTTAGCACTTCTTTAAAAGTCATGGCGATAATCAAATACTTACTGCATAATGAGCATATAGTCTCCAAGTACAAAGTGTTTCCTTCGCCTCTGGCCAGGTTAATCCCTTATCATTACCTTTTGATCCTTCTGTAGCAAGTCTACTGATAGCCAAATCTCTCTCATCCTTTGATAGCCATTTCACCGTTTCTGGATAATCTGGTAGAAAGAAGAATACCAGGATTGACGATAAGCAAGAAGGGATTCCCTCAATAATGAATAACCATCTCCAAGCTGACATTCCATGTGTACCATTCATATGTCCAACACCAAAGGCGATAGCACCGCCAAAAGCACCTGCAAGTGTGGCAGAAGCTAGAATGAATGCAACGCGAATAGAACGTTCGGATGTACGGTACCAGAAAGTAAGGTAGTATACTAGACCTGGAAACAATCCTATCATGATATTAATTGCTGCCATATGCCTGGTGGGATCAAGAAAATAATTTACCAGCTTCAAACATCCCAAGAAGGAACCTCACCGCTGTCACACCAGCAAAATTATGAGTGAACCCAAGTCCAATAGTCATGATACCCCATGAAAACATTAGGAATGATATCCATTTACTTGGGCTGAGCTTTTTGAGGAAGTAATTAGACGGGACTTCAAAAATTGCGTATGCGATTAAGAAGACCATTAGTGCAATGCTAAAGATTGTTAGTGATCTGCACACGACTCCGTAAAGAAAATATATCAGACATACACATATTGAAAATCCGACATATGCGTATCAGAAAGCAAATCATCGTGAGTAGAAGCATTAAGTGTTTTGGCATTGCCTATTTCCCATCAGCTTCGTACACATGTGATATGCGTCACGTAGTAGTAATACTGACCAATATTGGAACGATCAAGGTAACATAGCAAGTATATACCAGCACAGAGAGGTATAATCCTCAGATCTTGTTTCCAAACCAATGCTTTGGTATTTGTTAGACTTTCATCTGTTACGGCGTTGTCTGTTTCTTGAAATATCTACCTCCTGTCAGATCGTTATCATGAAACGTAACACAGAGAATCTCGACTTGCCTGCTTTCCTTCTTCAACATCAGATATGGCCCCCATGATACAATTATACAATTATACCAAATAGCAACAAATAGATGCACTTTCAAGATAGAAATACGGAAAAGCACAATGAGAAAAGTATACCGGTATACACAACAAGAAAGGAACACTAGATGGATGCTACACCGCTATGATAGTACTTATATAACGTGATAGACTATGAGCTCCCCATGGGACAAAAACAAAAGTGGAGGATGTGAATGAAATAGAGCGGGGTTGGGGTTCACTTGAATCGCAATTGTTGGTTATTCTCATGATCGGGTATCAGTGTCTGGGGTAAAATCAAAAGGAGGACTAGCTTGGAAATCGTGCATGCTATTCCTTAGCCTTGCATAAACTGTGGCTGAGTAGAAGAGACAAACGTGGTATTTGGCATAAGCGCCTCAGTTCTATTAAAATATTATGAAAGTTGTAGTTGGTACTTGTAAGGACATAAATACTTACTCGAGTTTTCAAATGTCATCGAGATTGTTTGAACAATCTTGAGTAAATACCATATAGCTCGACAGGGACTAATTTCCAGAAAAAGGTTCCAATCTCGAGCGATATGGCTAGTCAAGACAGTCCTCTTTCCATAACATCCAATGTCGCGGGAATCTTAACATTTGTAGCTGCTATCGCAGCAGCAATATACGTTAGGTTCGCATACTTACGGAATGCCGACAACGAATATTTCCAAGTCAAAGCGTCTCTTTCGTGGCATAAAATGGAGTCACAATGGCTTCATGACTTGGTATACGCATTTGATGGTCCAAAAGATCGTTCTGGACATGAGAAGGAGTACCAGATGTATGTATTCGTGATGGAAGAACTTGGAAAGCTCGAAGAGAGATTACTAGAATTGGTGACAGAAGCCGAATCGAAAGCTAGTAGTGAAGATGAGGCAGGGAAGAAATGGACGTTGGTACCAAGAAGTATGGCATTCAGAACAAGTGTCGCAATGTCCTGGCTACCTGTGAGAAGAAAGGCTTTGGAATTGGTTAGGCAAAGGGATGCGTTGGGTGCGAGAGTTTTATTTGCTCAGATGAGTATGATGTCATCGCAAGTATGAGCTCTAGATGTTAAGCCCCTGAAACTGACTAGAGTAGGCGAGTTCGAGACCAAGAATCACGAGCAAAGGAACGAGACATTTTAGACCACGAAAGAATTGACCGTCTGGAAAGTACAGTTCATTCCCAACACGAGAAGCTAGATCGATTAGAGTCTCTAATATATCGACTGATGCGTCGCGATCGGATCGAATCTGAAGGCATTCCACGTTGGGGACCCCGAAGGAATGATACTTTTGGAACGTATGACACTCCATCCCAAACTCCACTTGTTACCGGAAATACAACACCATTGCCAGCGTCGGAAGCCCACGACCTTGAGTATCTCCAGAAGCCAGGATTGACTGCCCTCCATTATCCAACATCCGATGTTTTTGACGATTAAAGGAATGCATATCCTTTTACCTTGAGATATAATGCACAAAATACGACACTAGGTACTGCCCAAAGGATGTCTAACTCAATCACAGACCAAATCCAGATACATCCTATCGGTGGAGCTTGCTTCATTATAGCATAACTACCGTATTCATTTGTAATATGTATAATATAACATCCAGCCGATATACTAGCTGCGAAAAAGGAGATGTCGTGTATGTAAGGTTGCACCTTGGTAGGCAGTCGTGGAAGTAGGTGCGAAGGTTCGGGGTGTGGATGAAAGGCATAAAAGAGAAGCCAAAGGACTGTCGGAATCAGCGAATGTTCTTAAAGACCCAAACACTTTGTATAACTTACCAGGAGATGCCTGTAGGGTCCTATATATAACATTTCTCCACACGATTCCTTCTGCGTATTGATGTGTGACCAATACATCAAAGGTGAAATGTAACATAGTGAGACTGATTGTCCATAAAAATGATTCTCCCAGTCTTCCTACTAGTATCTCCTTGTTTTCCTCATCGAGTTCTGCTTGACGCTTTCGTTGCGCTTCGCTCAAGTTGCGTATCTGCGCAATGTCGAGTAGTGTTTCGACCGAGGGATCAGGGCCAGATCTATCTGGTTGCTTGAGCTTGAGCTTCGGTTCTTTACTAGGCATGATGACTGAGTTTTAGTGGTGTATTGTCGTAGAGTGTCGCTGCTTTCATAGAGTACAAATGACCTCTGATTCTGAATATCCTGCAAGCCTTATCGTCTAGAGGTAGTTGGAAATCAATGGAGATACCGTGTTCATGCAAACGCAACAATTTCACATACATATTAAACCATGTCAATAGTAGGACATTGGTCAAGCTGCAAACTGATCCCTTACATTAGATGCTTGATTCCTTCTCAGGCGAGGCTTAAGGACCCACATATATTCTTTGACCGACAAACCGATGGGATTCCCACTCGATTCTCTCCACGAACCCCTCATACCCAAAACATATTCAATTATTCTCTCATACAACCACATTTCATACTCACTGTCGCTCCATTTCATTTTATCTTCGGATCTTCGATTTCCCCAACGAAGCTTTCCCCGATAATCACCTTTGAAATGCCCAAAATGCAATGGACCTACTTACTCACTCTCCCCATCATCACTTTTGTTGCATGGCAATACACTGTCACCGTTGTTAATTCCAAATTCCCTAAACTTCGTAACAAGAAGATATGTTTACTGATAGCGCATCCCGATGATGAAGCCATGTTTTTTGCGCCAGCAATGCAGGCGCTCACAGACCCGGAACTCGGAAATCATGTTAAGATTCTCTGTTTGAGCAGTGGTAAGTCGCCAAGGTGCATGAGATGGGGTTAAGCATATATTGATGTGCAGTAGGTGATGCAGATGGATTAGGGGAAACTCGGAAGAAGGAGCTTGTTAAGAGCGGGATGCAATTGGGTTTGCGACAAGAGAATGATGTTTTCGTCTTTACGAGTCCGTAGGTCTTCCTCCATTTTTGTTCGCACAGGAGATATCCATGCTAATTGTTCTTCTGGAGCAGAGATTTCCCAGATAGTATGACGAAGATTTGGGATAAAGAAAAGATAGCCAATCTTCTCGCTTCCGCCTTTTGCCCTCCTCATACAAGAAAAACGAATCTTACAGTTGCCCCAACAGCAACCATCGATGTTATTTTGACTTTCGATTCCCAGGGGATCTCTTCGCACCCAAATCATATCTCCTTATACCACGGCTCACGGACCCTTATCGCATCCATGATGCGGGATCGTCCAGGATGGCAATGTCCTATCGATATTTATACCCTTACCAGTGTCTCGGTTCTCCGAAAATATACATCCATATTAGACACATTTAGCACAATGGTAGTTGCGGCCTTTTCGAAAAGACAAACAGGCGACCACCCTAGTCCGTTGTTAATGATGAGTGGTGTGGGGCAACTCAGAACTGCCCAAAAAGCTATGACAACAGCACATCAGAGTCAGATGAAGTGGTTCAGATGGGGATGGATTGGAATGTCAAGATATATGGTCATAAATGATTTCAAATTGGAAAAGGTTGTTATATAAGAAGCAATCGGAAAGGCACAGGTAGGTGAGGGGAGAAGAAAGAAAGGAAAGAAAGGAGAGGTGTGTATACTGTGCAGTGCACAGTACAAACGATCTTTGATGAACATCTCTCTTACACATAAGAGAGTATGAATGGATGTGAGACGAGAAATGCGTATAGGAAGTCAGCACGTTTTTTTTGCTGTTTTTTTTATGTCGCTTTGTATTGTTTGTTATTTTTTTGTTCCCTTCCGCAAGATGCCTACAGCCCGGGCTAAAAAGTTATCAGCCTTTCACCAAACTTGCATATTGTATTTAAACAGATCTTTCTCTACTTCATGAAATTTGAATTTATGAACCATGAACCATGAATCTTTTTGGTTTTCCAAATTTGTCTAATTGTCATACTGCTGATATCTAAACACTTCCAACACAATCTGATACTTGGTTCTAGTCATATACCAGCAGAATTTAATTTTTGGTATTCCTTATCTCTTGAACCCCAGAGCCATATACAGCATAGCATAGGTTTTTCTACCTCTCTACCTTTACCTACACTTTCCCATCATCAACCAGCCAAAAGAACCAACCACAAGCCTCGATACCCTACTTGACGCATCCTACTTGAAGTGGAGACGAACAGCCCAACGCAAAAGAGGGTTAGCGAAAGTGGAGTACGAAGTCTGAGAGAAGCGCAGCATGGACTTGGAAAATGATGGGGATGTTGATGAGGATATGGTAAGTTATTGTTTATTATATTTGTTTTATTTGGTTTGTTTTCTGTTGTGTTGTATTTCGATATATTTTGAGATAGAAGGGGGGAGGAACCGGGAAGGAAGGAGGGAAGGAAGGAGGGAAGGAAGAAGGGAAGGAAGGAGGGAAGGAAGGATGTTTGGTATAGGGTGGTATGGTATGGTATAGTATAGGGGAAAGATATGTGAATGGATGAGCGATGTGTGTTTGTTTTGTTTTTGTTTGTTTTTTGCTTGGGATATTGTGTGGAATGGGGTTGGAAATGGAAATGGAGGGCCGCTGTTCTTGAGCTAGGTTGAATTTATGGTTTGTTGTGTTGTGTTGTGGCGAATGTATTGTGTGTGCTTTAGGTTTTAGGTTTTGGGTTTTGGGTTTTAGTATTTCGCTGATGGGGTTTTGTGGGGTAGGCTTTTGAAGGTATAGATCCATGGGTGGATGGATCGGTTGAAATATCGGGGTCGGGAACGTGGTCGGGGTCGGGGTTGATATCAAGTTCAAGTTCAAAAGCGAATTTGGATGGGAAGTTGTCGATGGATGTATTGATGCGGGATCAAAATCAAGAAGAAGAAGACGAGGAAGAAAGAGGAGAAGAAAATGAAAACGAAAGAGAAGAAGGAAAAGAAGAAGAACTCGATATAATCGGCAGCCTCACGCTCGAAAAAGCAAAGTTGGAAGATAAAATCTGGGAAATGGGGGAGGAGGCGAGGGTATTGGAGGAAAGGATAGGGGTGTTGGAGGGGAGAGTTGGAGTGTTGGAGGAAAGAGAAAAGTGGTTGGTGGAGGAGAGGGAGAAGATTGTTAGGATGTTGTTGTGGGTTAGGGTGGAGGTGGCGAGGTGGGGGATTTGGTGGAGGGAATTGGAGAGGGAGAGGGAATTGGAGAGGGAGAGGGAGGGGGAGGATGTGGGTGGTGGTGGTGAGTAGCGGGGGTATCGGGGTATATTTCAATTGAGGATGGTGAGGGTGTGAGGGTGAGGAAAAAAGACAAGATTCCGGGGATGTCAAACGTAGTTTGTCCTGGATTTCTAAGAATAGTTTATTTTGATTGTGGAATTATCTCCAATATCAATCGATGGTCGACGACATAACGAGAAAACATTGGTTAATAGCTTCTTCTGACAAATACACAATCCTAAAACCATTCTTGTAAGTACATTAGTCTAATCTACCTCCGTCTCTCTTTTTATACATTACTCATACTCATACTCCCGTTGTTGGGGATCAATATGGAAGGTGCGACTCTAGCCTAATCGATTAGTATATAGCCTCACCTCATATCATAATAATAAGATCACCCTTCTTCATACCTATAAACGGAATCCCTTCACCGTTTATGTTCCTCTCGCTGAAATACGAGTACGCATGCTCATTCATTTATTGATTCATTCATTTATTTGTTCAAGACATGATCCCTACAACTTTGTATCTACCGGTACGAGTATATCAAACTCCCCGATCCTAGCTTTACTAATTAGTCCGTCATCTCATTATTATTTTTCGATGAATGTTCAAATTCAAATACTCAAATGCTCGAAACAATGGTGGGATGCTTTGAGGAATTCGTTTATTAAGTACTCGAGTACACTTTCATTATTACTCGAGTAAGTAATATTGTTACACTCCTACATCAGAATTATGATATACTTGTAGAAACTTTCCAGCACCCTCACATATCCTTCTTTAGGGATGACTCGAATGAGAAGAGACGTCACGTTCGAGGAGGAAAATTGATGAATGATGAGTGAAGGCTGAGAATTTGACTTATTATTCATTACTTATAACTTATAATAAGATTATAACTACTATTGATTCCTCATACTCGTACTCGAGTATATGTACGGATGAACACTAACACTAATCACCCGTATATAGACATACTCGAGTAGGGCTGCTTGTGGTTGTATGAAATACGAAACACGAAACGCTAAATATCGGGATTTCCTACTTTGGCATTTCGGACCGGAGGCTCTCATCGTAGGTGAATATGTAACTAGGACCAGTCTACGAGTATGTAGATATGTAGCTACGACCAGTCCATGTAGATATATGTATAGAAAAGAAAGAAACGATGAGAGAAAACAGAGAGAGAGAGAGAGAGAGAATTGATGTTGATATTGATGAATGTTTAAATTGTGATAGGAGTACCGGTATATCCGCCAACATCATTAATTACACCTATAACCATCTGTTCAACCGTATTCCATAAAGACTTAGACTTAAACTTATTCTACACCCGCCCTATGATTCTGCACGATCTTTGCCGCCAACTGGAATTTTCCACCCGCAGCCGTTCTATTCCGATTATAACGAAATTCCTTTCTCATCAGCAGCTTTTTCAACGATCTCCTTAATCGTCTCTTTCTCGGTCCTGTATTTCCATATCTCCTCCTCCAAATCCTGAATTTAGTTGCTTGCGGCGTTCCAGTTTTCAGTTGGACATGACCTGTATATGTTTGATACGCGATTGTACCTCGTAGAAAAGACTTGTAGTTTTTGATTATCGTGGGAATCTCTTGGACGGCCCAATTGACGTGATATTTGGATAAGTATTCCGCTGGGCGATGGATGAGGGTATTGATCCATTGTCGCATGTACATCCTGCTAGTCCTCAATCTAAGGCGCTGGAAGGTAAAGTTTCTTTGGCGAATGTTTGTTACTGCAGAGTCGGGATTTCGTCGCATCAAACTGTTCTCATATAAGATTCTGTAACGGTGTACTTCGCGAGCCAGTTTGTAGTGTAGTCGACGAGCTTCGGCAATCTGTCCCTGCGCTTCTCCAATTTGTCGCCTAGAGAGAAGGTTGCGAATATAGATATTGTACATTGGGAGGGTAGGTCTAATATTATAAGGTTCCGAAATCATGTTCCTCCAAACATCATTCATGCCAGCCGGAGGTAATATCCCTTCGTCAAATCCTCTCTCTCGATACAGAGCACTTCCCCGTTTCTTAGCAAAGACTGCGGTCCACTCGATTATGTCTTGCCAAGTCTCTAAAGGAATTTTAATGGAATATTTTCGTGATACATGGTCACTCACTCGAAGAGCCATTGGTAAATCGTTGTTTATGCAGTAGATGTGGGTGATGGTACGAAATAGTCTCTTGGATGGATACAATGGAGAGTCTGGAAGAAGTATATCGAGTTTCGAGTTAACACTGTTGTTCGACTCGGTGTCAATATTCCATACCCGCTTAAGAATTGTTTCAGCAGTCTTAAGATCCCCCTCTCGACTCGCCGAAACCATCAACAAACAAAACGTCTCCTCATCCCCCATCAAGCCTATTGCTACCATTTCTCGAAATAATCGAGAGACTGAGATGCCTATTCCATTGTCGGGGCCTAATCGGTGTCGATTGAGTGCGTAAGGTATGACATCCAACTGACGGAGTTCCTTATAATGAGGCACGACTCTCAGTCTCTCAGAATGAAAAGGACTTAGAACGTCCGACCAACACATAGTAGCCATATAATAATTGAAGCATTCCACATCTGGGAGAACTCTTCTCGCTTGTGTAACCTGATGCCGATTAGAAAGCAAAGCCTTCCATGTCAGATCTGCTACTGCTTGATTCCCTGTAAACTTCGCAGCTTTAAGGAGCATTTTGTACTCGGAAAGATGTAGCGGGTGTCTCTGCTGACGTTTCATAATAATCCGATGCAAGTGCCAGAGATAGACAGTGTAGGCGCGATGAGTTCCGTTATAATCAACCGTATCGATCCTCATTTCAAGTAAATCTTCATGACGGAAATCTTTTAGTAATGACCTATGTCTCCCGAAGAAGTATTTGGGATCCATCAGTCTCATGATTTCAGAGAAGGTATTTGGGGGAATCTCCAGCAAAGGCGAATAATTCACATGATAGTTATCCACTTCAGAAAGTTTAACAAGAACCTTAAGAAGCTCATGCGGATCTCGTATTTGAACTGCTCTAAGCACATCTTTGTATCCAACAACCATTTTGGCCTCCTTGAGAAGAATCCTTCGTTGAGTCAGATTGAGGGGCAATCCAACTCCTACTCTTCGAATGAGAGACACCATGTCAGAACTATCAGATGTCTCATCTTGTTCATTAATCGAGGTTGGAATTTCGAGTGGATAGATATCTCCATACGCTTCTTGACTTTGGGATTTCTCCGTCGCATGCTTACTAGACCACCATTCTTTCAAATTTTCCTCTTTATTCCATGACATTTTCATCCATGACGGTGTCTTAAAAAAGGTCTTCGCATTTGATCTCTTGTTCCGAATCGTAAACCTTTGCCAATATAATTGTTTCAGTGGTGCTTGTAATGCATTATTGGTGCCCTCATCTCCCTCGTTCAATCGATTGATCCCGGTCTCTTCTTGACTACCGGTATTCTTTTGATTTTTGTTTTCGGAGAACCATCTTTTTCCATTATATTTTGTACCGAATTCCGTATTTGAGTGTGCCGAAAGTCTTGTAGCGATTATGGATTTGCGCGTCTCAACACCGCGCAAGAAAGGTCCCATTAGATATGATTTTGAAAGTCATCATTCCCACTCCCGGTCTCTTCTAGATATCTTTTTCGCTCGCATTGACCATGTATCTATCGTATTTGATGAGAAGATCAACAATCAAATCAAACTGAACGAAAATCCGGGGAAAGCTGGGGGAAGTGCGAAAGTGTAAAAGGAGAAAGGGTTAAAGAGGGTAAAAGGGGTCCACTTGGTGTTGTCGATGGCGGCAACTAAAAAGTAGTTTTTTGGATTTGGTGGATTTGGTGGACTTTGGTGGATTTCGGTTGAATAATTGAAATTTTAGTGAGGGGGCGGAGATTGCCGTCGTCTATTAACTCCGTATCTTTTATGCGATTTGATTTGAAGGCAACTCCATTATAATAACCTCGAGAAATCATTTACTTCACAACCTTTCGTCCGCATAAATAAAACAAATATGGCAGATATTGATGATGGCACATCTGCACCAGCGGAACCTCTTGATCTTGTGCGACTTTGCCTTGACGAAGTTGTTTATGTGAAATTGAGGGGGGATAGAGAATTGAAAGGAAGGCTACATGTGGGATATACCCTTGCAACCCCCCCCGAGAATATTATACTGATAATTGGTAGGCCTACGATAGTCATTGTAACTTGGTATTGGGTGATGTGGTAGAGACCATATATGTTGTAGAGGAGAGTGAAGAAGACGACGGGGAGGAGATCATAAAGGTTGATTTATATTCTATCAGACAGGTGCTTTTTGACTAATTCTTTCTCTGCAGACCGTTGTCAAGAAATCTGAAATGCTGTTTGTCAGAGGTAAGTGTTCTTGAGCTTCTAATTGGTCATTGTATCACATCTAATATTCTCTCAAACAGGTGACAGTGTTATACTTATTTCACCCAGATCTTCATGATAATACATACCGCTATTCCATCATACAACGACGTAAACGAGATAGCTTTCGATCTGGAAAAAACTCCCGACAATCATTGGAATGAGTGGAGGGTGGAGTGACAGATAATATGACAGGCATAAGAAGGGCGATTTTACAACGGGCTGGATACAATATCGATTACCGAAATTCGAGGACCACGGACGGCAAAAGCATAGATAGGCGTAAGAAGGGAAGCACGAATAAATATATGCAAATACTTCAGCCAAAATACCTGGACTTGCGTCGATTGTGAGTTTATATGGTGTTATAGGTGGTCAAACATGTCTATCTCCATCTGCGCTTGCTTGGTCTTGTCGCTACAAAGCCCCTCGTTAGGTCGTGTCGGGCGTTTGGAATGTTGTACATCGTCACCCTATAGGTCTATTTCGTTGATGCATAGTTGCAATGATCATCCTCCAGCCCTTTCATCGAACAGTTCTATGGGATATGCTTTGAAGGTGGTTGAGCTACTCAAGTATCGTTGCGCAGCTGAGGTGCGCCGATTCTAACCTCGTCCACGGCCTGGCAAATGCTCATTGCATGTACATGGAGAAGCAGACTATACGCAGCCAGGAAAAGATTCATCAAAAGATTAACGATAAGATATACTTGAGCTCATGCTGTAGCTCGTGGTTTCTATCTAAAATCGTTTCAAATTCATGTTACTACTGGCTTCATGTGACAATGTTTCTATTCATTGCCATCACCTGTATCTTTATTTGCAAAAAGGGCTATACAATGAATGCTAAGAATAGAAAGCTATCAGAAAACACCTTTAGCTTAATAAGAGTCTGTAGAATCTTTAGCATCTTTAGAATCTACAAATTCAGCCTTGAGTATGAATCATTCGTTCATTCTAATTCCTTATCGATAAAGCTTCACCCCGGACTTTCACACCGAACAGTCATCATCTATAATACATATAAGAACTTGCCTACCCTCCCTTTAACTCATTACTATTCAATTCACTATTCCTAAAAGATATACCATATAGTTCTAATATTACTTGAAGATATACCCTCATAATCCTGCAAATACACCATAAATAGATTGAGTTATTGCCACACCACTTCTCCAAGAAGCAAGCAAGCGGGAACATGAATCCAAAAGGCAAACAGCTCCCGCATGAGCGGCGGAAAGGCGAATCTGTATTTCACCCTTTAGCAGAGTTTAATTCATATCTCTAATCGCCAGTAGGCTCTCAGCGAGTTCGCGGAATACGTGGAAAAGCAACAAGTACTTCGATATCCCTCCCATTCCACAGCCAGTTCAACCACCGCTGGCCCCTCAACCGCCGCAACATCTACCACTTGCGTCGAAGATCATGCCGAGCTTACGGATATCTTGGACTCTCTCGATATAGCAGATAATAGTCCTCAAGTTCGAATAAAAGATCTTCTATTGTCGACTGATGCAGACGAATTGACGGTTCTCAAGAATGTTTTGGAAATGCGGTTGGAGGAGGGACATGGAGAGACTATCTTTGAGATGGGGTTTGAAAATAATGGGGATATGATGAGATTGAATAAAGAGGAATGGAATGTTGCACTGGAAACATTAAGAGTTGCGGCAGGAGAGTGCCGTAGTGATTGTCACGTACTTTTGACGAAAGGAGTGGGTGGCGAGATGGAGGGCGAGAGTGGAGATTCGAAAGAGAAAGATTGTGTCGGGAAGATTCTAATACGACAATATCCTGCCAGCGTGCAAGAAGTTATCGAGACAAGAATTGCCGTGGTAGGAAACGTCGACGCAGGAAAAAGTACCATGTTGGGTGTATTGGTGAAGGGGGGACTGGATGATGGTAGAGGGAAAGCAAGAGTCAACCTCTTTCGACATAAACACGAAATTGAAAGCGGGAGAACTAGTTCTGTTGGTATGGAGATTATGGGATTTGATACCAAGGGCAAAGTTGTGGCATCCGACGTCCCAGGTAGAAAGTTGTCATGGGAAGAAATTGGAAAACGATCGGCGAAAGTTATCTCCTTTACGGATCTGGCTGGCCACGAACGATACTTACGAACTACTGTTTTTGGACTGTTGTCTTCGTCTCCAAATTATTGTTTGCTGATGGTCGCTGCAAATAATGGTCTCATTGGTATGAGCAAAGAACATCTTGGTATCGCTCTTGCGTTGAATGTGCCAGTTATGGTTGTCATTACTAAAATCGACATTTGCCCTCCTCAGATTCTTGAACAAACTATCAAACAAATTACTGGAATACTGAAAAGTCCTGGAGCAAGAAAGATCCCAATCTTCATCAAAAATCGAGAAGAGTGTATCAATACCGCCACTCAGTTTGTTAGTCAACGGATTTGTCCCATCTTCCAAGTATCCAATGTTACTGGTGAATCTTTGGATCTTGTTCGAGCTTTTTTGAATATTCTTCCTCATCATGGTCATTATGATGCCGATGCACCTTTTGAATTTCATATCAATGATACTTTCTCAGTCCCATTCGTAGGAACCGTCGTATCAGGAATCGTCAAGTCCGGTATTGTCCACGCAGGTGATACTGTACTCATTGGGCCCGACTCTCTGGGTCAATTCACCACTACTACAATCCGTTCCATAGAACGTAAACGAATATCAGTCCCAGCTACATCCGCCGGCCAATCTGCTTCCTTTGCACTCAAGAAAGTTCGAAGAAGAGATGTTCGAAAAGGAATGGTTGTTCTTCCCAAACTCGAACATAATTCCCCAAAAGTCTACCGAGAATTCATAGCAGAAGTCTTGATCCTTTCTCATGCAACCACTATCAAGACGAAATATCAAGCGATGTTACATGTAGGACCTGTGAGTCAAACATGTTCCATTATTGATATCGATCGAAGTTACATACGAACGGGTGATAGAGCAACAGTAGCTTTTCGCTTCGTGCAGAGACCGGAATACCTGGCTCCGGGTGATAGATTGTTGTTTAGAGAGGGTAGGACGAAAGGATTGGGGATCGTTAAAAGTGTGGGATATGATCCGGCGAAACCGCTGGGTGGTATTAAATCTGATGGTGATGGTGATGGTGATGGTGATGGTGATGGAGCGGATGCTGTGGAGACGGATGCGCAAGCTGAGGCGACGAAAACTGCATGAGAGGCTGGGGGTGGGATAGTTTACGTTCTAATGTTTCATTGTATCATGGGTAGCATGGGTATCATGGAAGGATAGTATCATGGGAGAATGGAAGGATGGTATCATGGGAGAATGGAAGGATGGTATCACAATCATGGGAAAGGCAGACAGAAGATGGTGTACATAGGAGTGGGGGATTGGATATAATCATTAGTTGAATATTCATCATTAGGTTATACATTTATGATTTCATACATGCTTTGAGATATCAGTTATTGACTAATAAGTCATTTATGTTCTTATATATAATACTCGAGTAATATATTATATATATAATTCAGACCTAGAATAGTATATGAACTAATTTTAGTCTATCAATTAGTATATATATTAGTTAGTTAGCATATAGTATAATACTAATCTAGATCGTTCACTCAAAAAAAACAATATATGATTTTAGACTGAAGATAGTATATACTATTTCAGATAGGAGTCAGAGATCTTACTGTAGACTTAATTGTGGTTCATGACTGAGCATATCCAGGATCCTCCATGACTAACAGCACAAATTTTGTCTCGGCTACTTCGCCACCCCCCGAAACCGAGTAATTTTCCATGCACGACAAAATAAGTTCCTATCAGAGGATACTGTACACGAACACCGGAAGATTCCAGAACGAGATCATACAGATGCGGAATAATGCGCCGCTGAACCACACAGGCTCCCGAAGCAATCTGGGAATTCAACTGAAGTTTTAAGGCGGATATCCATTCCTCCGACTTCAACTCGTCACCAAACACAATTCCAGCTCCTTTGCCACTGCGAATTGGCTTCAGAAGGGACTCGTACCGTAGTTCCGGGAATCGCTGTGAGAGGTGAACAAGATGCTCTAATTCCACTGATCCAGGAAGAATAGTATCGGCAATTCCTTGGTCAAGAGTGTGTGCCTGGGCAGTAGTGATTACCCTGCGTGAAACTAGTGACTCCAATTCTTGCTTCACGATACCGAGCATTCGTTTGTCATGAGTTAGGAGAATTGAGCGAAAGTCGTTGAAGCAGCGGAGACTGATCTGACGCAGCATTTCAGGCTCTAGCGCAAGTAACTCCGATTGATGTAGCTCGAGGCCGACTTGGTGAATTTCCTCAACAAGCTCCTCCTCATTAGTTCGCCAGGTCGATGGAGGGCGAGGAATGTTTACATTCTCCTTCACCACAGAGCAGAGTCTGTAACCACTCCCGTGCGCCAGGGGCAAGAGCCTCAGGTCTGCGGGCGTGATCAGTCTAGGCGTAATTCCGAACCGCTGCTGGATGATGTGCAGGAGCATATGGATATCCATTCCTTTTTCTCGACCTTTAAGAAGGTGCAAAGGAGAATCTGTCCGGAACAGACTCATAACACCATTGAGTAACTGCTGAATGTCAATAAATTGATCGCGCAAAACTCCGTGCCAATCAGTCCTTGTAGATGATTTCAGGGGTCCTCACCTCTATAGGATCCGTTGCGCATTTTAATCCATTGCTTCCCACCCCTATATCTTGAAGGCCTTCATGTGCAATTGTTCCGAGAATAAAAGCATTGAAAGAAAAACGGGCGTTGATCTCAGTGATGCGGTAATTCTCTACTGCCTCACCCATATCGTCAATCACATCCTCTACGAGGAAATCTGGTCTCCACGAGCCCCGACACTCGCGGTACATAGGAAGTTTCTTGCTGACAACTTGTTCTTCCATCCACTATCCGCAATATTAGTCAAATTCCAAGGAGTCTAAAAAGGGCACAAATCATGGTTCCGCTTAGTGGCGAAAAGCTGGTAGACTCACCTGCAAAAGGTCTTCTTCTTGTTTCTTAAGAGGCATACGGTCAGGAAAACGCGCATCCTTATCTGTCCACCATCTTTCAACAATATCCGTGATAGCTGCAGTCAACGCATCATGCAGGTCTCTCAGCCGCTGCTGATGTCTTTTGTGGATGAAAATGGGCCGCGGACATGCTGTTTGGTAAGCTTCTGCAGGCCAAAGATCGGCGGGACATCTCTGCAGCAGGCAATTTTGGAACTTTTCATGCTCTTGTACATAGACACTATTGTCAACGTTATACTCAGTGACGAGTTGATTGCTTCTGGGCCCCGGCCTGACATGTACCTGCTGAAGTAGGTGGGAGGTGGGCTTCTCCATTTCAAAGAGCCTAATTCGAAACTATGGAGTAGCCCTGGTAGACAGATGGATCGTAGATTGATAATAGTCGGAGATAATTGATTCTCTCAACTTCTGTGTCGTCTACCTGCTTATAACTTGCTCAAAATATGTTAGAGCTCATGATTTGGCCTACCATGTCTAAACGGAGATCAATCTGAGTAACATAATTTGAGTCAGTTACTGAAAGTTCATCTCGTAGTTTACACATCAACCATACGGAAACAGTGTTACGGCGTAGAACCGTAATATGCTACAGTGTAGCTTTTACAGTGCTAAACGGTGATACTTTACAGTTCTACTCCGTATCGCTGTTTCTGTAAGCCATACGTACTTGAAGTGACGTGACGTGACGTGTCTGGTCAGGTGTGTGTAGATTAGAATTACTCTCTCGAACTCCCGAACTTCCTACTACAGTACATCATCGAAGGAAAGGACTGGGATGGAATGGAATCAACCGATTTGACTCTACCGCCGTACTAAGTAACGTGATACAGCTCGTGTATGATGTATGCGGCAAAGCACTTTCCCAAAATTGGCAATAGACGGGATATGGGGAGGCCCGGAGAGTATCACAACTGCAAGATAAAACTCGGCGACACAGCAATTTCTTTTGTGTCTCGCACTATAAGCGAACGCTGTATTTCCCCTTTAGTGATATGGATGTTCTCGCAGTTTGTATAATCGTCACGCAGCGCTGGCAATGGGCGGTATCCTGCTTCAAATTTCTCAAAAAACGACCCGCTCCCGCATTTGCTAGTGAGCTAATCAATTTTTCAAGATCCGACCTCCTCCGGCATATATTTTGAACAATTCCCGCAAGGAAACTGGGTAACGCAGAAATTCGCACATTGTGTGAATAGCTTCAATTTCCAAATCATAAAACATGATTAATATGTGCCGGGCCATTGCTCAATATCGCCATTGTGAAATGCCCTACGTACATTGCGAAATGAGCTAGGTTTCGGTATAAGCTAGCTCGTACCGAAATATGAAAGAAGTGAGGGCATTCCGAAATGAGCTAGGGTATTTCGAAATCAACTTATTATATAGAAAAATGAATTACATAATAAACTATGAGCTAGTATATACATTAATTTTTGATCTCCCTATAGTATTAATTCACTAGCACTTGCTTCTATATATAGGCAAAAGATCCTTAATCTTATTGTTGCCTCCATTTTCAACTATATCATCGCCCCTATCACTACTAGTTTTCCTAATTGCCTTTTCCTTTGCCAAATAAGCCTTTTCTAATTTTATCGATTATTATAATAAATTGAATTCATATATATATAGTGGAGTGGATTCTTAGAGTATTTGCGAATGAACCTAGCTCATTTCGGAATGCCCTCATGAATCGTATGAGCTTAGCTCATTGGGCAATGAGCTAGGATATTGCCCTATGAGCCAGCTCCTTTCGCAATGAACGTAGGGCATTTCACAATGGGGATATTGAGCTATGGCCCGGAACAAATAAGGCTACATTATCAGGTGCTTATAGGAAATCTCATGTAAGTTAGATATTTAATACCAAAAGCAGATATTTACCAGAAAATATAATCTGATATATCAGAGATTCTATATAAAACTCTACTTATTAACTATATAAAGTCACTCTTATATATAAGGTTCAATCTTGTACTAAGGACTACTTTGATTATCCTTTTCCGTTTAAACAAAATATTCAGTATATTTTTCTATCAAAAACTCCTAGTTCATCATAATCTAATAGATCCTATCTTTTTATATCCAAAAGCATTATCATAAAACTCACAGAGTACTTCATAGGAAATTCAGGAATAAAGAACAGAACTTGACAACCAAAGTAGCCCTAACATATCGTCTCGACGACCCTGTAGAGATTTCTCGAAGCAAAGTCGCAGGGGTTTTTGATAAGATAGTATACAATAAGATTACACAAAATGCAGGAATTCGTGTGTACTTCTAGGTATCTACCACAAAATACAGGATTGCGAATCTCTCAAACTCAACCCGCTCCTGTATTGGGATAATAACCCTAACCCTATAACGATCCAACATATTCCACAAGCAGTATTACAAGAACCTCACATTACCGACCCTCCCAGTAACGCAGTATTGAGCACGACATCTTCCAGAAACTAGGATTGAGGTTACCAATGTGCGACAGAACTGAAGAGTGATATACTCTAGTATGGCATCGAAAAAAAATATGTACAGTACTAGACCAGTGCTATTAGCCCAACTTCACATTTATACTAAAAGTCATATACTCCAGTAAACCACTTCAATATTCTAAATTAACCACTATATATTAATGAAAAAAATTGATGTGTTTCAAAGATTACAACAAAATAATTATCATCTAGTAATTTTAGTTTATAAAGTATTTATATAATAAAATATAGTAACTTAATATCAAATGTGATTGTTCACTACTAAGCAAAACAAGCGAAGATTGAACAGATCTATTCAATTTGGATACAAAACCATTCGGCAATGTGCAACAAACAAGCTATCTATCTATGCACAATTAAACAGATATAGAAATATAAAGCTTTATGTTTATGCAATTGCTGGAAGAATTTGATGTTGTATAATTGCTTAGTTGCTTGTTCTTATTCAGATATCGTCGATAAAATGGAAACCCTGAGTCTGTCCGTCGATAGACAAACCGTTGATGACCTGATACATACTCAGCTTCAATTTTTCCAAGAATCTCCTTATGGACGCGACAACGATATCCCCTTCTTCGTCGCCGACGCTGCAGAAGTCATTCAGCGGCATCAAAGATGGAAAATGGCATTGCCTCATATCCATCCGTTCTACGGTCAGTGAAATAACTGCATTCGCAGCTCTCGAGCCTCTAAAACCTAAAAAATTCACCAAACACTGTCTCATTGAGCATCGTCTCATGAAAAGCATGACTGACGAAATCCCAGCTGTCAAATGCAACCCGGACGAGAAGCTCCTGGAAATGCTGGCTAATATGGGCGTGAACTTTGACTGCGCATCCCTTCTGGAAATTGAGCAGGTCCTGAAAATGGGGGTCGATCCAGGTCGCATCATCTTCGCTCATCCCTGCAAGTCTCCATCTGCGCTGGATACAGCTGCAAGACGAGGAGTCCGGTGGACTACCTTCGATAACGCTGACGAGTTAGACAAGATACAGAAAATAAGTCCCAAGATGGAGCTGTTACTACGTATCTATGTTCGAGATTTTGGCTCGAAAACTCCGTTAGGTACCAAATTCGGTGCCTCCATGAAAGTTACACGAGCATTGCTCGAGAAGGCTCATCTGTTGAAATTGAAGATTGTGGGGGTTAGCTTTCATATTGGTAGGGGTTGTTGTCAAGCCTTTTCCGGTTTCCGTCGGAAAAGTTATCTTGAATCAATTAACATGAAGCAGGTTCTGGATCATCGGATCCAAATGCCTTTGTTACAGCGGTCCACGACGCTAGGCGCGTCTTCGAGAATGGCAAAGTACTAGGATTCAACATGTACATGCTAGACGTCGGAGGTGGGTTCGAAGATGAAAGTTTTGAGGCCATGGCATGTTCCTTACGTGAGGAAATTACCCGTGAATTTCCCGGTCCGATGACTTTCATCGCCGAACCAGGACGATTCTATGCCAACGGATTTTACACCATGGTCTGTCAAGTTATTGCGCGTCGAGTTCAGACAAACACGGAGGATTATAAGCTACCGGACATGCTGTATCTGAATGACGGTATCTATGGATGTTTCAGTCTACTTTGGAGCGAGAATGCGACCTTTGTCCCAACTTTGATATCACCGCAAGGCAAATCGAAAGTAATCCCACGCAAATTAGCTCCTCACCGATATTCCATATGGGGTCCAACTTGCGATGGAATTGATTGCATATCTAAGGAGGTGGTAATGGACCAGGAGATTATGATCGGAGATTGGTTGAAGTTTCAGAACATGGGAGGTAAGCTCTTTCATCAACTTTCCAGAGAGGTGTAATTTGACTCAATCGAAAGCAAGTGACGTGAAGCTAACAGTCTCTAAATTAGCATATTCCATCTCAGCTTCCTCTAAGTTCAATGGGTTCTCAAATGACTACAAAGTCATCTATGCAGAGTAACTCTTATATAGATTAAAGTATACTCAGTATCAAGAAACAAGTGTTATGAAAATGAGAAGATATCAATGGAAATAAAGAAGTAGATAATTAAGAATTGAAGAATTGAATATTATTCTAAAGTCATTTTAATATATTTTCTATTATAATACAAATATTTATCATTCATATATACTAGAATCGAATCTTCAAATTATAATATTCAATAACTTATTCAATAGCTAACAAATGAGAAATTTGATAAAGTAACCGTTTATAGATAATTTGCCTTCTCAGAAAACTTATCAAAACAAGCATTTTACTATATTTTCAATAATAGCTATTCCTTAAAATGAGTCGGATTGATGAAAACTTTGTGTATGTGACGGAACAGACGGCTCTCTTCCGCTTACTGGCTCATACTACATATGTAGCATGATACGATGGCTCTCTTGGACCTTCCTTTCACAGCTTAGAGCCTTAGCTCTATAGCTCTAGACCTAGGCATCTTACGCCTAGGTCTCTTTCACCCTTTTGGGCCTAGCCCTTATGGCTCCCAATACCTGTATATATAGTCCTCCTTTTAGCACCCTACATAGTTCTTCACTTGTAGATTCTAAGTACACAATCGGAGTCCTGTTTATACCCTTTTGGTCACAACTTTGCAAAGAAGCCTCGATTTTTACGATCAAATAATATTGTCCTCTACTGACTATATCGAGCTCTGTATAACCTCAAAAAGAAAAACCAGATCCGATTGTACCTTTAGCCTGCTGTACTACAGCAGGAACCCTGCCAACTTCCTCTCGGGGACCAAAGGTCGAGTTCCAGCTAGCCATCTCAAACCGCCATGTTCCACCGTTCCTGCATGTAGTTGCTTCAGTACGACTCTGGCTAGTAATCAATGAACATCTTGCAGTGCCAGTACAGCATTATGAAGCTTCGAGCATTGTCACTGCAGCTTGCGTCAGGTGTCGTGAGAACTAAGCTTTCCTAGCAACTTCCAATCGATATTTCGATGTATATTGCACAATAAGCTATGGATTTACGAAGTCTTAGTTACGTTATACACTATCACCGATTTGATAAATCACTTGTCTCTGGATAATTTGCTTCTATATACTACCCGAGATTGCATTGTGGGCGACATAACAACAAGGGGGCTAGTAGCTGTGTTGCAACGAGGAAAAGTTCGAACGAGATGGCTTTCATGAATGCATGTGAATAAGTGTGCAAGAATCAGACTCGAGATTCTTATCGTATTGTCTCTAGGATCTTTTCTCTTTAAGCTCAGCAGGATTTCGCAGACATGGCTCCAGGAAGCTACAAATTGGCAGAAGTACTGGTTGTTGCTCAAACGCATCCTTTTTACAACAAGCAAATTTCGTACCCTCCCAACTCAGCTACAATATCGAGGTATCAGGAGCTGGCCATTGATCATAAAAAAGATTTCGACTTTCAGCGGCAGCCATTGCTTGATAAGAAGACACTGTAGGGGCATTTCGACCATCCTAGTCAGATAGAAATACATGTAGACTAACTTCCATCTGCTAGATACAACACAATCGCACGACTCACACATGATGTTAATCCGCAGAATACATATCGACAAGCCTCATATATGAGCATAACTGGCGGTGGCTCTGGCGGGGTACCTATGATGTTTGCCGTGGATGTTCATGAGAATCGTCGACAGCGAGCTCAGATGGGAGGATTCCTCAGATTGTGCGGCGTCATTCATCCCGCAGATGTGGTGTTATCCACTCATTTCTCGGGAGGATTCTATAGGTATTTGATTATAAATTCCAAGAAAATTTGACCCAGGTCATCCAACTAAAGAATGTTAAGGTCACTCGATCTCACGACAGAAATCATGGAAAATGCGGGGGCGACTGTCTTCAGTGCCGGAAGTTATATGCCGCATATTGAAGTTGTCATGGCTCTGGCCAATTATCATGTAAACGTTCTAACTGGCGATGGGAGTCAGGTTATTCAGATCGTTCATCAGATATCTAAGCTGTCTCAGGAGGATCGCAAGCGCATTGTTTTGAATAAGATCATCTACACCTCGGAACCTCTCACTTGTCCTCAACGAGTATTCATCAAGACCATTATAAGTGATGTTAGGATATATTCCATTATGGGTAGTGCTGAGGCAGGCCCTTGGGCAATCAGCAGTCCCGATCTGATTGGGGAGCAAAATCTTGCTGGCCACAGCACCGACTTCATTTTTGACACGAGAAGCATGATGATTGAGATATTTTCCTCATCCGTCCTGGATGGTGCAACTTCGCCCGACTCTCAATTGCTTTCTGAAGGGGAAACGGGCCTTATGGTGCAGACCTCACTTCAAAGGCTGCGAAATCCATTGGTACGATACATTTCTGGTGACGTTGGGTCCATTCATCCACTTCCGGAAACCGCTTATGCAGTGATCCCTGAAGCGGATCAGAAGCATCTTCGAGTGTTACGCATGCATGGACGTGATCATCGCTTCAGCTTCAAATGGTACGCTGTTTATTTTGAGTTCTCGAAGATTGACACCTTCATGCAGGAAACGCAATTTGGCATCTTGCAATGGCAAATAATTTTGGATCGACTTATCGACACACCACAGTCAACCTTGGAAATTCGCTTGCTGCGATCGCCTCCACGAGATGGAGTTGTGTCTGATGAAGCTCTCAGGAAATTTCTGGAATCCTTTTTTGTCGTGTTACCAGAGAATGAACACCTGGTACAAATCCTGTTCATAGACAGTCTGGAAGGCTTTGAGCGAAGCGGTACCTCCGGAAAGGTTATTAAATTTGTTGATCGGTGGAATTGAGCTGGCTTTTTGCAATGCAGGTGTCTTCCCATGTTATGAATATGAGAAAACCGTGGAAGCTTGAGACTATGAAGAATACATGACAATCGTCACATACCACGAATATGCTGCTTCGCATTGGGATCATTCATATTTTCAACCGCTGAGTTCCAGTAGCAGGTTATCAATAACGAATATTTACATGTGATTACAATGCTCTGTTCTCACTCGGAGTAGATCTAGCCTCACTGCTAATTCCTGTCAATAGAAGATACATATACCCGTAAACGCTGTATTTTCCAGTGAAATTTAATCTGAATTGATGTGTAACATGCCATCCTCAAATATAAACCATTTGCTAATCGGCTGTATCATCAGTTTTAGTACTACAGAGTTTGTTTATTAATTCCACTCACGTCCTGTATTAGTCTATGACTATATAGGACGGTGAGAATCCTAAGGACTCACAGTTAGAAAGGGCATAGCTAGTTTCTAACATCACTGACAAGTAGATAATAGGAATAGTAGATGGAAGAAGAATAGATGGAAGAAGAATAGAGAAAGAAATTTTGATTATGCGTTATGTTATTTATATTCATCCTCTTTAACTCTATAGGCGGATGGGGCTATGCTTCCCTTTATACTCGAGTATTGTTTATAAAACTCTATATCTACTGTTTCTACTATCTACTTAATATAATAACTAGCTATATTCTTCTTAAATGTAAGAATCTTTGGGATTCTCATCGTTCTATATAGACTACGCAAAAAATGACCTGTAATATATAGATAGCCGTAAGTAATCCGTCTTATAGGTTATCTCAGGCTACAAGAACTATTACTCAATCTTTAGATATGCGTTCTATCTGAAGCTAATATTCTTAAGGAAGAGTAGAAGCGAATTAATTGAAGAACTAAAACTACAGGATCTTTAAGAGTTACATATATTCCTTCTAAGCGCCCAGGAGGTTATCCATCGAAGTTCCCGGCATAGATCTCAACTTCTGAAAGCTTCAAGTTCTATATCAATTTTCGTGAAATGGCCTCAAACAACCTCTGAAAACATACTTCCATTACTAGCCGTAGATAGCTCAAAGTTCCGACCTTGAGACATGCATAGATGTACGATATATTTATTCATTATGCGTCTTCAGTAAGGGCAGTCTCAGCAACTTTTCTGGAATCTAAAAAGCATGTTATAAGAAGAGCGAGAGCAAGATAAAATAGACCTATCAATGTCAGTAACAAACAATATAGAAACCTATTTTTTTTTTACCCCAGGTCCAATTCATCCATTCGTAGCCAATAAGCTCTTTCAAAGAACCGCCCATAATTGGGCCAATCATCATTCCTAGGGAGGCTGCAGCATCCATCATAGAAAATACTCGTGACAAACCGCTTTGAGGCCCGAAAACGCCTGGGGTTTTTCCTTGCCGTTTTTTGGCTGCGTCTGCAAGATTTTTACGTCATTGTTAAGGTTGTACCCATAGCATAAAAGGGCGGGACCGACTTACCGGCTAATTCAACGGGAGCGATACCAGATACAAACGGCCGTAAGCTGCCTATAGTAATGATGGATACTATGTACAATGTACCGTCAGTAGCTGGGACATTCCCCGAGAGAACCTCTCTGCCAGCGGTGCCCAGTATCCCTAGTGCCAATGCCTGGAGAATGCAACAGACTATCGCTGGGCCTTTTGCCGAAACTCTGTCATGGACCCAACCTGCGAGAGGGCCAATCAAAACACCAGGAGCGACAAGACCGGCAAAGAGGAGTCCGACGGTGCTGGGACCCCACCCGAATTTGTGCTGAACTTGTAAAGGAAGAGTCGCTTGTAAACTGCTAGTCACAGCCATACTCATAAATGTAATCATTAGACAAGTTAGAACTCGACTATCGCATATCATGACCCTCCAGAAATTACCCGTGCCGGAAACATTTTGCACATCTCCAGGACTCGTGTCCACTGTATCATTGTTTGGAGAACAGAGTGAAATCGTGTGCGGATTCTCGATCATGATCACTCGAGCTAGAAGGTCTATCGTCAAGACCATGAGCGGAGTCGACCACGTCACCCAATAGCCCGTAGCCTCTATAAGCAAGCCCGAGACTACAGGTCCGGTGATTGTCCCTGCATTTGCAAACGACATCATCAAACTCATCCCAAAGCCTAAATCGTCTTCGTTCAATATATCTGAAACCGTTGCAAAGCCAATAATCCACACCGCAGACCCTGCCATACCTTGCAGCACACGACCTAAGAGAAGCATGGATACTGAGCCAGCGCCAGCAACCATGACGGTGCCTAATATACAGCATACAAGTGACAATAACAGCGATGTCTTGCGGCCAGAGCTTTTGTCGGCGAAATGTCCGATTATTGGACTGGAAATGACGGCAAATGCGCCATGGAGGGCCAGTACGGTGGAGGACAACTTTTGGATTTGAGAGGGCTCAACATGAAGACGATTCTCCAACATGTAACCGAGGATGGGGACCAGAAATCCATAGAGGAAAGTCTCTATATGATCTTAGTTAGGTGCTGAACATGGGTAAAAGGGAGGGCAAACAGACCAGCAAACAACGCGACTGCGATGGTCGAGAGAACAAACCATTTCGAGGAACGCCATCGGAAGCCTATGGGTAAAGACTTTCCGTGGGAGTCATCCATAGTGAGAAGATTGTTTGAAACTCGGAGAAAAATGCTGGAAGCCGCAGCACATCGAAATGTCTACATACGTTATCGTAATCACTTTTTATGTGATGCGGCTTCCAGCATATTTGGAAGTTTGTGATGAAGAGTACATCCTCACTTGATCTGGTTATTCCGTGCGTGAAAGTGTATGACCGGCCTGATGTCCATGGCGTTCGTACACTGTAGGACCCTTTCCGTGACAAAATGTCACCGAGGTTTTCATTAAGCCCCACATTCAGTAACCTTACGTCTGGGTCAGGGGAGGAAAATTCTCTGATAATAAGGTCACCTCGGGCTTTCTGCGATCTCGTTAATAGGTCCAGGTACAAAAGGCTGCATCAGACTTAGTCCACCTTTACCCACCAAACTCCTCGAAAAGTCTCATTTTGGTTGGGATAGATCCGCCAGATTCTTCACAAGTACAAAAATTGCTCTGAAACCTTGGAAACGCCGGGGACCACGATGACCGAAATCCGTTGGTGAGTACTGTATTCAATCGAGTACATATTAGTACTGTGTCGGGAACGGCTGTCACCAAGCAGGATGATAACGTCATTAACTACAATAGCTTATAGATATTCCATTGTATACCAATATACAGAGTATTGTTATGTCTCTTCCACAACTACGCCTATTTATGAATCAACCTACCTCATTCGTCAATAGGATATCCCACTAGCCAGCTAAGAATTATGAACACAAGATACATCGATCTTTTCGTCGATAGATTCTATTGGTACACCATGGTTTGTTGCAACTCAAAGTAGTTAGCTTCTCTTCTTATTGTCCTTCTTGAGTGAAGAAGGAGAAGTAGAACGTCTAATATCAGATCCTCTCTCTCTCGACTAGGCCTAGCGCCTAGTAACATGCCCATATTCCGACAGATTCAGGAATAAAAGATATTGAAATTATATTCTCAGATTATTTTAGCTTTGAAAAGATTATTCGTGTATTTAAGATAAATTAATTAACTATGTATGTTGGTTTTGCAATGGTAATGAGCTGTGGCAGGAGTACTGAGACACGACTCTCTTGCGTAGCTAAGACATAACTGATCTCTTGATTAGGTAACTAAGCCGTGACGTAATTACCGAGACATAACCCCCTTATGTAGTTAGGTGAGATATGATTAATTCCAGCGCCTGAATCGTTATAGTTCAAGTTGTATTCATTTTGAAAAGTTTGAAAATATTTGAAAAGAAATTTGAAACAAAATTGTATATCAAAGAATTTTGAATTAATTTTATTATATACTAGTATCTTTATATTGATATAAAAATTTGTTTTATTGTTTTATTTTCTAAAAACCATCAAACTCATTTACTTTACAATGCATTTATTAGCTTAGAGAAAATCATAAGAATTTGAATTATATTTTCGGATAGATCTTTACAGCTGTCGGTTTGCACGCCTCTAGATTACCTGGCAGTGTCACTTAGATCACCTCAACTTGTTCGGCGAATGCATATGTAGATGTAGTGTTATTCATGTAACTGGTGTTGAAGGGGATGTTGGAGAGGAGATAGGGCGGTTAGTAATGCAAGGTAGGATAGCCCTCCTTCTTTCGCATTATTTAAAGACCTAGAAGTAATTATTGAATTCTTGTTGCATAAAGTGTTTAGTACTTGCGCAGAATGCATCGGCTCTTTCGTGGTAATCATACGGCCAGAGCGGTGGCTGCCAGTCATTTTCCTCACACTGCGCCTATCAGTATGGCTCGCCCCTGTTATCTCTATCCACGCTTTAATTGCATGATGCTGACTTAAACAAGGAGATCATAGGATATCCAGTTTTATTCCCTTGATCGAAGTTGCCAAGCCGAGTCTTGCCTCTCATGCCTCTCACTTGAGAGCCGTCCATGAGACGCTGGTAAGACAAGGAGTTCTTCAAATACAGCTGGGTTTTGATGATGACGAAAGTCTGTATCTTCGAGATCTGATTTACAATCTCCATCAAAACCATGGTCATGGTCTCCCGATATCCCACAGCGCCGAACAGGGGTGGTTTTGGGATATTCGGCCTTCAACGTCGAGTTTCCAAAGCAATGCACACCAAGCTCGATCAGAGACAATGCTCTGCTTTGACTGGCATACGGACTGTAGCTATGAAACTGACCCGCCTCGATTCTTTGCCCTTCAAGTCCTTCAAACAGATCGCTATGGTGGAGGGACGTTGTCGGTACTAAACGTCGATCGAGTTCTCACCTTCCTCTCCCAATTTACGCAAAAAAGGCTTTCCCGATGTGAATACAAAATAACGGTTCCTCCCGAATTCGTGAAAAAGGGTGGAGAACGGCATGTTGTGGGGAATTTGCTCGCCGCGAGTGGAGGGGAAATTCACGGTGGTTCCCTGAGGTTTCGGGCGGATATCACGGTCCCTTTAACTCAGGATGCTAGCGATGCGTTGGCAGAGTTGAAAGATATCTTGAAAAATGGTAAAACTCAGGCAGAGACGATTCATTTGAAATCCGAGACCCTTCCCCGAGGATCGATCATCATGATGGATAATCGGCGTTGGCTGCACTCACGCAATGAAGTTAAAGACCCCGAGCGACATCTTAGGCGAGTTCGATGGGATGCCTCACAATTCGGCGCCTGTAGCTCATAGGTCTAGTTGGTGTGCTGAACTGTAGCCTGTGTAAGAAGAGATTTGATGGTCACATGTTCATACCATTGAGTATTATTGTCGGTGGACGAATGATAGATTAATCTTATACTAAGATCTCATTTGTATCTCTATATAGACCTTTAAAAACTCCTTTAATTCGAATTAGAAATCAAATTTCAAAAGAATAAATTCAATTGATCTTAAATTCGATATGTATTCAGTAGAATAATCTATATAGATATATATTATTCAAATTGTGACGGAATAGACGGCTCTCTTCTGTCCACTAGCTTATACTATATATATAGCATAATAAGATGACTCTTTTGTACCTTCCTTTTACAGTTTAGAGCCCTAGTTTTTTAATCTTTCTTTCACTCTTTTGAGCTTAGCTATTAGGGTTTCTAATATCTATATATATAGTCCTTCTTTTAACACCTTATATAGCTCTTCACTTATAGATTTTAAGTACACAATCGGAGTTCTGTTTATACCCTTTTGATTATACAAATCGACTCAAGTTAAACTTTTAATTATAATAGAAAAGAAATAGATATAAAAAAACAGATTAACAAAAACTATCTTTATTTTATCTATTATATATTCTAAGCTTTTTATAGAATCTCTATAAACTATTGTATTCTAAGATTAAGATCTAGAATAGTACAGAAATAATTATTATATATCGATTAGTAT